TAACCAAGCAATCTAAACTGAGCTTTTTTAAGCTTTACACTAGTTTTTCAAAACCGTTAATAATTATACTTATAAATATCACGTAGTTATACTTAATCTTATATTTAAATAAATAATTATGTTGATAATAATATATTATTCTTTTTACAGTTACCTATTATTAAAAATATAAGATTTCAAATTTTAAATATAATGATCATAATTCAGAAAATAGTCCTAAATACTTATCAGTTATCAAGTCAATTTATTTTGTAAATATTTTCTATATTTTGGCTTTATAATAATGTATTTGAAGATTACGCTTTATTTTTATGTAAAAATCTACAAAAATTAAATTTTAGATTCTGAGAGTAGATATTTTAAATATCACGTATTAGAATTTCAATGATGTTAGGCTTTTTTGCTTATTTATTTATCTCTCATCACCTTTAGAACAATAAAATTAAAGTATTAACAGTTAAAACTGCATAACATTTCTAGTGTTTACATCTATAAAAAGCTTGAAGGTTCAATTCAATAATCCTCATACATTTTTATTTATGTGTATTTAAAAAAAGTTTATCATAAAGTGCATACATTTTTATGAGTGATAATAATTGAAGTTTAAATTTCAACATTGGATATAAAAATGAAAAACATAAAATAAATTTATGAACTTGAAACATTATCTTTTACTTAAATTAAAATTTTCAAAATATTTAGATTTATTTTTAAGAACTGCAATGTTTGATTACATTTGAAGTTTTTGAATAATTTTTAGTTTTTATAGTGTTGCTATTTTTAGAGGGTCAAAAAACGTAAAAATATAATACATGATCATATAGGACTATATAGCTTTCTCATAAATAGCAGTTAAAAATATATAAAATTCACTGTCACGGTTTTTTTTTTATATAGACGTTTGAAGTTCAAATTTCGCCATTTAAACAAAGAAAAAAAACAATTTTAATTATTTTGTTGTATAATTAATAAAATACTATTCGTAGAGACTTGAAAATGTTTACAACTTCGTACAATTATTATATTTACCTACTAGGTGGTACATACAATTCGATTTTTTTTAAATATTTAGATTTTTATTTTAAGCAGTTTATACCACGCGACAGCCGTTTTACGGAACGTCACGATTGGAATTTACATACAAATTATAATAAACTTTCATTTTCATTACTATGAACTTTATACTTAATACATTAATAACAGCTAGTAACATTATAATAATTATTATATAATATATATGCAATTTTTTTTTTGTCACTAATTAGTTCTACCTTCTGCCATAATATATATTACTAATAAATAATAATAATATAAATATATCGTAAAGTATAGTAAAATATCTTTAGAAATATAGGCTAACAGACAGTCTCCGATCAGAATCGATATTCTTATATAGTATGCAATTATATTAATGATAAGTCATCAGTGAATTCAAATTTAACGCGTCCATTTACAGTGACCTACTCAATGAAGAGTTATACTCAACACCAGCTATACAGCAGAGGAAGTTACCCATTTTTTTTTTTTTTAATATTTTTTTTTATGATTTTGATTCAAATACTGCAATACCAATTAAGAAAAGGTAAGCAATTTCGTTTTTAAGATAAATAAATAAATAAATATTTGAATATTAAAATATTAATATAATCATATAAGTATTACCTATAATGTTTATGGCTAATGCCTTATTGAATCAATTAATAAACATTAATTAAATCATCAAATTACTTTTAAATAACCAGCGAACCAAATTTTTATAAAAATATATTATGGATTATGTACGATAAAAAACATCTTAAAATGTATTGCCATAATTACAATGAACTACAACTTTCTAAAAGTTTAAAAATAATTTAAATATAGGTACGTAGAGTTTTTACTTTTTTGCTACTTAGAATTTTTGCCAATAAAATCAAATATAACGTTATCTAACTAGGTACAATGTGATTGCATGACTTCAAAACTTTCAACGCAAATTATTATTAATTTGAACAGTAAAAACTTTGGATCTATAAAGAAAATAATCATGAGACATTTGTTTTTATTATTAAACTTGGAACCAGTACAAAAAAAAAGTAATAGCTAAAATATTGTTTATTAACCTCAGTTATTATCATAATAAAATAATAATAAATACGAATTTAAATAAATTGCGAACTTAACAAAAAAAAAACTAAACATAAATTATGGAGATATCGTGTCAACTGCACTATGATTATTGATCGAATAATAGATACCTAACTATTTCCGTAGTACAGCTAAAAGCACGATGTAAAGAAGATATCTTCTCTACATCGTGGCTAAAAGTTACAAGCAGGGTCACTTGGAAGGGGGAAGTGTAGGGGTCGCCACCCCACCAAACGTGCGATATGTATATGTCAGTTGGCACATTAGTACATAGAATATTTAAGTTGGCACTCGGCAAAAATTATTTTTCATATTATTTTTTTTACGTGTAGCAAATTGGGAAAAGGTAAATATTGAAAATTCCCTGTTCTTTTCAAAGCGAAAAACAAAAACAGAAGAGGTGGGCAAATGAGTATCGATCTACTGTACAACAGGTACCGAGTGAGTCACTATAGTTGATGTGTTACTGTATTAAATTTAAACTAATATTTAATTATTATAATAGTGTAGGTATATTTGTACCATAATATTATGCCTAGTATAATTATTGTTATTAAATGTTGAGTCAATACCACATTGCCGTGGAACAGCTTGAATAGGTTCATGGCTCATGCAGGGGCGTATTTATGGTGGGGTGGCTGTTGGGGCTTCAGTCCCTCTCCTCCCCCCCCCCCCCCGAAGTCCAAGAAATAATTATTAAACCTGCTAATATTAAGACCTATCAGATGTAAATCGTAGAAGCCCGGTACATAGTGATTTTGACGTTCGGTACTGCTGCATTACCGTCATTTCGATTTGTTTTACCTGGAATCGATTTCCTGATATCCACGTGTCTGTCACGTCTCAATCACCGCACAATAATTCATACAAGTCACACACAAGTCTGATTCTGAGAAAAGTATATATCTCAAGTATTTTTTCGGATTGCCATTTTTAAACGCAAATGACGTAGTCCAATGTTTCGCCGAAGATTTTATGGCAATAAAACCATGTGAATATGTGATGACGAAAAAATGTTTAGTTTTACAGATTACATTTTATAGTTATGTAGACAATGATGTTAAACAGTTTTCCCCCCAAAGTTTGGAGTGATTTTTCAGCAACCACAAATCGGACCACAAACAGTTGTGAAAGTTTTCATGCAAAATTAAATGCCCTTTTTCACTCAGGACGTCCAAATATTTTCATTCTTGTGGACACTCTTCTGGAAATACAGTCCGATACATATACAAAATTAAGTAACAAAGAAAAGAGACCATGTAAAAACACATTAGAAAAAGAAAAAGTTTACCGGAGAGGACAAGCAAATACATAAAATATGCAAATTTGCAGATTCGACTTTTTAAAATCTGTATCATTTAAATTTTTACTGACAACTATTTAATTATTAACATTATTATATTACACATAATTATTATTATTTTTAATTAACTCTTTATACTTATTATTATTATTATATGATTAAAAAAAGTATACAATCACACACATTTTTTGGGAGACTACTCATCTAACCTCCACGTGGTGTCGTCTGGGTAACCCTAATTGGCTGAAAGGACTCAATTCGAACAACCTAATAAACATGATTAGATATTAAAAAAAATGGAATGAACAAATTAATATTTTATTTTCGGGACTCAATTTACCTTGTATCATTTTTTTTTCTGAGGCTCGACTTACCTATAACCTTTTGTTTACTGGGACCCGATTTACCGAGATAAGGTAATCTGGGACTCAATTTACCAAAAAAATAATTATTATTAGTATTAATGCAATAAACCTGTGTATTTTGGTACAGAATGTATTGAGATCGAACAACGGTTTCGGTGCACCGATTAGTTGATTCTGTAGAGTTAAGTTATACACTTACGTAAGCACCACGCGGGGACTGCAAGTAGATTTTCTATTTGCCTACCTGAGAATACATTTACAGCTCGTATAGGTATAATCTCAAAAACATAGCAATAGCAACACCGTGTCATCTAGTTATATTATATGCATTCTTTTAAATTTTCATTTGTTTACATATTTATCTCCCTTATATCACATTTTGACGGGTTGGTATTGTAATTGTGTATATCAGAGGTTCTAAACCTTATTATATCCACGTACAAAATGTCCTACAAAATTACACTTATCCAACATTTACTAATGACAATATTATGTTCGATCAATATTAAGATAATAATTTGGTAAATAAGATAAAGCTCTTTTCATCTCATCACATTTCAAAACTTTAAATAATATTATAAAATATATATTATACATTATTAACAAAAATATCAATCCTAAGTTTTTACATTTTCTTATCTGAACTACGAGGGAAAAAGATTATCGAAGAAAGTGGTTTCTTAAATATTATCATTAGTTGTATAATATAATATTAACCTACCAATACAATACAACTGAAATGTATGGTAACATGGACCAATCTGTATAAATATTATAATCTTCTGGCTTCTGCACTTTTATAAATATTTTAATATATAATGGGACAACAAATAGAAATGTATTAAATAATATGGTTTACTAATATAATATACTAATTATTCAACTAAAGATATTCATATAATATGTATCATATATATTTTTTATATAAATATAGCTATACTATACTTGTAAATAAAATCATGATTTTAACAAATTCATAGTGCAACAATCATATAGAAAACAAATGCTGTCAAAAAATGTATTTACTTATTATATTATACTATATTCAACTTAATTTTAAACTGAAACTAATACATTTTTGTTATAAGGTACATTGTATTATTAATATATATTCTTAGTAGGTAAATGACCAAATTTTATTTCAAGGAATTATGAACACCTACTTTAGTTAAGTATCTTTATGTATTTGTATCATCAAAAACAATTCAATTTAATTTTTTTTTGTTATATCTCTGATTAATAGGGTTATCCGGTGATTTCATCCATTCTTTGTTCATTAGTTGTTTTACTTGAGACAGACGCATACTTGGATTTTCAAGACGTAATCTTGGTAAATTCTCTGCTTCAAAAGCAGTATATGCTGCTTTTAGCCTTTTTTCAGGATGTTTATCCAACAACTTTTGAGCAGGGCTGTAACAATATTATAATGCATAAAAATGTAAAATAAAAACAATAACTATTATACTACAGTTGAAATCAGTTACAATGTATATTAAAAAAACTAATGAGCATACTGTCAATTACAAACGATGGTGTAAATTAAATTGGTGCCAATTGAATTACATTTTAGAGTACTTGTTTATTATTTTCCTGCTATTGCTATATATTACAACATATATTATTGTTATTAATAGGAAGAGTATTTCAATGCAAAATGCAATTTTTCTGAATGTCCTAACTCCTAAATAAATGCTTCCCAAGCATAAAATTAATTTCATATATCAGATAATTAAAAAATTAAACTTTCTTTTTGCATTTTTTGACATTCTAAGTGTATTTTTAGGGTTTTAAGGCATTTTTACTTATTTTTATATACTTCAGTATTAATAAAAATGTTAATAACATTTATTTTGATTTCTTCCTAAAATAAATAAATTCATATTTATATTTTTTAAATGTATTAAGTGGCTTACACACTAAGCATTTTTTTTTTATACATAAATCCATTAAATTGAGGTTTTTTTAAGTTATATTTTTCAATGTTAAAAATAATTTTTAGTGTATTAATTTTTTTTTAAGGCATTTTCTTGAATTTTGCTTACTTGTTTTAAACATATGAATTATAACTATATGTCAATACCGAAGTACTGTTTAGAACGTTTTTAAGAAGATTGTGGTATAAATAATGTAAGATTATTTTAAATACTTTAATAATGTTATTGTGTACCTACAGAAAAATATATTTTAAATAATAGTGGCCAATTTTAGACCATCAATATGAGGGTTTAAAAATGATAACTATTCCAGATCATACAATATTTTAAAAAGACTAAAACCAATAAAATGTAAATAGGCCTCTTAAAGAAAATATAAATTAGGTTTATAAGGTGTACATTATAAGTTGTAAAAAAAAGATAATATAAATATTTGTATAACTTAGATATAAACAGGACAGGACCGAGAGACAATATCTACTATTATATACAACATGTATAGTGAAGAAGTGATTAGCCATCAACTAACATACACAAACAAACCAACAATTTATAAATTATTTTTATTAAATTAAAATAAGTAAATAAAAAGTGGGAAAATTTAGCATTTTTGAAAAGAAATCACATATAATTCCAAATAACGCCGTACTTACAACAGTTTTATTTTTATTTTATTATTTTACAGACTAGTACCTAGAATACCTTAAGCATTTTGATTTCCTAAATTATACCTCTTTATGAGTACATGCCTCATCTAAGCTCATTCATTATTGTAAATTGCCAATGAACAATAATTACAATCACGAAAACCCTGCATGTTTAGCATCAATCAAAAATTATGGATGATAAACAACATTCTAGGGATTATTTTGTAAAATATGCTAATTTTTTTAAATTTTTTTAATTTAATAAATACAGTTACGGTAAAAAATTGAAAAAAGTTGAATGGCCTATAACTAGAAAATAAAAATGTTAAACCTACCCTTAAAAGGGATTTTTTTCATAACTTAAGGTATACTATAATATGATACCGGCTGGTCACTTCTTCAAGGGACACATTGTATATATTTATAACAATCATTATTAGGTATGTTCTCTATAAATAAACTATATAATATTTACTTTAGCATATTAAGAGCCTCATCAACTGTTCGTGCTTCTTCATCATGCATAGTCAAACGATTCAAATTTTCCTCAATTGGACTTTCTTCTTCTACTTCCAATGGCAGTTGAGACTTAAGATTTGATGGAGTATCAAGTTCTTTCTAAAATGTTTGAACTATACAGCAAATGTACATAATATTTATTGGTGGTTTTAAATATATATTACCATAAGTTGATGCCTAGTGATTTTTTGGTTGATTTGTGTAGTCTTAATTTCACTGAGTTCAGTTTCCAATAATAATTGAGCTTCTCGTTTCTTTTCTATATGATCAATTTTTTTCTTCTCTTTTTCCTCCTAATATTTTATATATAAATTAATTATAATCTTAGTGAAAAGGTATATTAAAAGCATAATAATACAACTTGCCTTTCTTTTTTGTTTTTTGGCAGAGTTCTTGTCATCATCTTTCCAAAATTCATCTTCAATCGCCTTTTTTTTTTGAGCATCCGCTTCTTGCTTAATAGCATCTCGTCGAGCTTTGGCTTCAGAAGCTTTCGAATTCATACCAACAAACTTCTTAGGCATTTTGAATTATACCTACTATTAATCAGAAAAATATAGCTAAATTCAAAATAAACTAATTTTGTAATATAATGTATAAGAATATGTGTTGGTATTGAAATAACTTACATTTTCGCGATTAAAGTACAAACTATGAGTTCCTTAAACTCAGTTTATTTACTAATTAATTAGTAATAAATATATATAACAATATGGTAGGTAATCGAATAGTTCAATAATTGTATCCTTTTGTTGGTATTGAGAATCTTATAAAATGTACAGTATAATATAATATTATTATAAATATTAAATACCTAATACTATTAGGTATACCTTAAATTATAAGACAAAAATCTCCTCTCATCTATCTGCTAAATATAAAACCTGATTTTAAACATTAGTAATACATAGGTAAAGCCACAATATTATTAAACCAATAACACTTATTTGTGAATTTGTGATTAGTGATTACTGATTACCGAACACGATTATAAAGAACAGGTTATGCGTCGGAAGGAATATTTTCGGTCAGATTTTGTTACGGCGGTGTAGTTCTTAAAACCGCCGAGCGCTGCAAGTCAACCGTGTTACATATTAACATTTTCCTATACAAACCATGTTAAAACTAATTTTTTAATTAATTAATTGACAAACCTTTTGTTTTAATATTAGCATTTTATTCGTAGGCAATTTATAGACCTGCATTTTGGGTGTAGCCTACTGTATTTTTAGACCTCTCTTTTTTTATTTCGGCCCTACTAACAATGTATACAAACTTTGATAATATTAAATTATTTTTCATCAACCTAATTGAATTATTATTATTAATTATAATATAATTTTTTAAGAGATGTGCAATGGTGTTTTAAAAATATTTTGATAAATTTTAAATTATTTAATATTTTTGTTTATTTTTTTTTTTAGTGGTTTTACAATGTTTGAAAAATGCCTATTGCCTAGTAATTTAATAAAATGTTCTTCATAATTTTGAAATGGAAAAATATACCTAAATTTACTATAATAGGGACCAGTTCTAAAGACTTAATTGTGGGGAGGGGGTGCTAGATCATAATTTTCACAAATAAATAATGATTATTCGGTGACGACAAAAACTATATCTCAATAATCAGTTATTATGTGGTCACTTACATTAGGAACCAGGAGTTAGAAATTAGTGTATGTATTATGTATATCATTGTGTTTTTTAGTATTTAAAAGTATAACGTTATTCTGTGTAGTACAAAGTAAATAGGTACATTTATATATATTATATTTACATATACCAATTCGAGCCCTAATGTAGTGCCAACACTAGAGTTTATTGGATTAAATTAGTTTAATCAAATTAACTCTACATATCAGATGGTAATTTCCTTTTTTTCACTGGGTTTGACAAATATTTTGGACCCGGAAATATACTTGGAACAGCATCATGAACAAGCTTTGCTCGTTTTAAATTTATCTATAAAAACGTTTAAGACATTTTTATATAAAAAAAGATTCATTGAACAAAGGATAAGTTACAGTACCTAGGGAATACCGTGACTTTTGAAGCACCAGAACCAGATTCCCAAGTTCTAACAATTTGATCAGGTGAAAATGTTTTTCACAAATCACTGTCTTTGAGTTGACAACAAGATTAGCACGAGGAATAGATTTTTCCCATTTTTCCCTCAAAATTTCATTTTTAGGAAATTGAAACAGTGAAACTTTTTCTGGGTTTGATTTATATCCTGACGTACAAGGTACAAAACACAACACAGCAAGAAGATGGCATGTTTCGATAATTCGGAAATAAATAATATAATAAAATAATAATATAATGACGTATGTCAGACGTATGACCCCACTATGACAATAATATTAAATATTAATAATATATTATACGATTTGTCTTCACAAATCAGTATTCAGTAATCACAATAGATGATATATATTTATGACGACAATGAACAATTCGTTTAGAGCCCGGTTAACTAGCAGCGCCTACCTAGTGGTAAATAGCCGAACTATATCACCGTAACAATTTCTGACCGCGGTTGTGCCATACAAACCTTATACCGACGGATAACCTGTTCTTTATAATCGTGTTACCGAACACCACGATTAATGATATCTTTAATCGTGCTGAACACTGTTTGATTGTCTGAACCTCTGATCATTATTTGGTACAGTAATAATATCATAGAATATTGGAGTGGTAATTGGTAATAAATACTAATATTTCAATAATTTAATCGTTTTTAAGTTTAGGGTATAGTGGTGGATTTTAATTGTAAATTGTAATCCACCATGCGTGGATATTGCGTGACTCATAGACTTATAATATATAGACCGCGCATTACGCTCTTTTTGTGTGTAACACTTTAAGCCAACATCTGTGCGAGAGAGAACACTGAACTGTATATTGTAAAGTGAGAGAGACAGACTCTGACATTACAATTTCAAGGAGTTTATAGACAATTTGTACATTACTCCTTGAGATTATAAATATTTAAAATATAAAATAATGATAACAAAATTGATAATATTTAATAAACTTCATTACTACCAAGGAGTATTATAAAATTGTTTATAATCTCCTAGAAAAAGTAATGTCAGAGTCTGTCTCTTTCGCACATATGTTGGCTTAAATATATTTCACTAATGGGCGGTCTATATATTATAAGTCTATGGCGTGACTACTTTGAAACCCCCTGACATGATAACGCAATACCTAAGGTGGATTCCATGAACTAGTAGTTCATGGTGGATTCAATAACCAGACAGTAAATAAAAACGGTTTATATCACTTTCATGGATGAAATTATCATATCAGTTTGTCACGTGCCTAAGGGCCGATTTCACCAACACAGTTAGGGCCGATTTCACTAACACAGTTAGGGCCGGTTTCACCATGTACGAGTTAAAGTGCGAATTAGTTAATCCTGAGCACGGCCATATAGATATATTATGTACGGCTATATGGCCGTGATCTAAGGTGTCAATACACCATTTGATACCATTTGATCAGATAAATGATAACTGATAATACAATCACAGAACAATGATATATGATATTGTTATTTTTTACATACGTTAAAGTTAATACTTAATAGGTACGTGTTGCTGACCAATGAAAACTAAAGAGTGAACACTAAACATTGGACCATTGCACATTTGCCTCATTAACTGTATTTTGTACCATTCCGCTTTCGGCACTCGTCCACTTTGTTATCAAGTCCGTAACGTTTCCTATTTATATAATTGATAGATAGGTCGTAGAAAATAGGTATTCCATTTCCTGGTCTTGCCGTTTTTGTGTGGCCTAAAACGTCGAAAACTCAATTTACTTTACAGTAACGTAAATTATTTTAAAATGATTTTGAATAACATCTTAAGATACTCAAAGAATGTTGGCTCTAAGGTAATCAATTAAAAATTCGTTGTCAACTTAAACTAATTTTTTACTGGCAATTTTAAGGTCAATGGACATAGGTTACAAAGCACATTAATAATTGCCGAACATGACAATGAGAAACTTGCAGCCGTAACACGTAATGCCTTAACAGCTGCAAAGAAACTTGGTGGAGAAGTATCTGTACTTGTAGCTGGTACCAAAATCGGATCGGTATGCTTAAATATTATGTTTTCCATTTGAATAATTTTTATATTTCCTATTTTTTTTGGTTAAAACAAAAATAAATAAATAACCTACTGGCTATTTGCATTGCATCTTAATAAAATTATATAGGTAGATTTTTTATATTTCAATAAAATAATGTAGCAATCAGTAATTAGTAATTACTTATGTCAAGGTTAAAACCTATATATTGTTATTTTGTTATGTAGGGACCTATTTCATAAATAAGTATTTGTTTATAAGTTTAAATATTAATTAATTGTGGATTCTTAACACAATTGTTCTGAATTATATTTAAAAAATATTAGGTTATTTGAATAAGAAGATATTGTTGGGGACAAAGACTATTTCAGTAACTTTTAGTTCATAAATCAGATTTATTAAATCTATTTGTTTAAAATTATTCATATTGTACAATTTAGGTACCTAGGTATAGTTTGTATTTATAGATTTCACACATTTAATACCCATTATATTTTTATCATAGATTTGTGATACTTTTATTCATGAAGGCTAGAATAAAGCTTCTACGGCCGCCCGCATGAAAAAATGTACTAAAATAAGTTGCCCAATTAAACAGGCACAGGCTGTTCTGCATACGCTAGGGTTGCTACTTTAACCCAAATGAATCTATGAATGTTTTTAAATGTATTTACTATTTAGTATCAACTATTGACTTATTAAGTGTCAAATAAGAATGGTTGACATCAACCACTTAATATTTTGATAACAACCAACTTCAAAATACATTTTCAATTTCAACATAAAATACCAAATCTTTATACAATATTGTTGTTAAACATAAAAATAAATAAATACTACGCCAAAAAAGGAAAATACAAAAAAATTAATAATTTATAATGTACCTAATAAAAAAAAAAAATATAATAATTGATGTATGAAATATTGTTATTTAATATTTATAAATCTACTACTTCTCAATGATTATCTTATCAATACATTTTTTGATAATGAAATATTTAATATTTATTATTTACATCAACAGGTCGTAGAAGAAGTTACCAAAGTATCTGGTGTGACCAAAGTACTTAAAGCGGAGGGTGAAGAATTCAAAGGATTTCTGCCAGAAGTTCTTGCTCCATTGGTATTGGCTACACAAAAAAGAATTAATGCTACCCATGTTTTAGCTGGCTCCAGTGCTCAGAGTAAATCACTTTTACCTAGAGTGGCTGCATTATTAGATGTATCTCCAGTTACTGATGTTATTGACATCAAATCTCCTGATACATTCGTACGAACCATTTATGCAGGTACAAATTATATTTCATATAATTTTTTGTTCGTCTAACTTTTTTAGTACTAAAATATAAATAATTTATTAGTAACATATTTTTCAATTAATACATTTAATGATTTTTAAGGAAACGCTATATTGACCTTGAAGTCACTAGATGCAGTCAAAGTACTCACTGTACGAAGTACTAGTTTTGAAGCTGCTGCTGATGGGGGTTCTGGTTCTATTGAAGATGCAGTACCTGCAGGTAGTTATGAAAAAGGATCGGGTTCAGAATGGATTAGTCAAGAACTGACCAAAAATGATCGACCTGATTTGGCTTCTGCGAAAATAGTTGTGTCTGGAGGTATTATAAATATAATTCATAAGATATATTATTATTTAAGTATTTTATTTTATTTTTTCTATGTCTATTTAGGACGAGGTGTCAAGTCTGCTGAAAATTTTAAAATGATCTATGATCTTGCTGACAAAATGGGGGCAGGTGTTGGAGCTTCACGAGCAGCCGTAGATGCCGGTTTTGTTCCAAATGACATGCAAATTGGACAAACGGGAAAAATTGTTGCTCCGGTTAGTAACAATACTCTTAAAAGAAGTGAAAGTAAAAACTAAGGTCAAACAATAAATTTTATTACAGGAATTATATTTGGCTATTGGCATTTCTGGTGCCATTCAACATTTAGCTGGCATGAAAGACTCTAAAACTATTGCTGCCATAAACAAAGATCCTGATGCACCAATTTTCCAAGTAGCTGATTTTGGACTAGTTGCTGATTTGTTCAAGGCTGTTCCCGAAATGATTGAAAAAATAAAATAATAGGGATTTGGTTTAATATTTTTATTTGTTATTATTTTAATGTGTTTGTTACAATATCAGTTAAATATGTTTGATTCACAATTAACTATTTTTTTTTATGGTTACATGCAACATAATATTGGTGGTTCCACATTTTCGTTGAATTTATATTATACATTATATAACCATTATCATTGCTTATAAATAAATACATTTATTTTTTTAGTATACATATTTATAAAAATTAAAATAAATAAAAAATTGTTACTTATTTAATAGTTAATAATTACTAACTAATCTGTAATCGTTGTTTGTTTAATCTAATTATTTGCACAATTTCATGAAGTTATTGAAGAATTGAGGAAAAATTTCAAAACAAATATTGTGCTACATTTATTTTATATTGCTGCAGATTACATATTTTGTATACTTGTCCCAGTGCAGAAAAAAGTTATTAAAATGTTGAACAGGTGACATTGTGACAATATTTTATTCTAGAATAAAACTACATATTTTTCATAGTTAAGTCTTAATATAGTGAGTGTCGAGTGAGCAATATAACTTCAGTACTTTTTTTAATATCTTCTCAAATTAGAATATAACTATTGTATATTTCCATTTTCAAACTTCATATTTTATTAAATAACTATAGTAATTACTAATTACTAACTATATAAACTTCAGAATGTCTCATATAGACTGCAGTAAGATACGGTTTTCGGGTCTTTTCAACACTAGTTAAGGGCGTCATTGCAGGGTGTACATTTGAACTAACTTTTTTAAAAAGCCTTCTTTCGCCTGCCAACAATAAATATAAGCCCTGATGCCTGATATACCGAAGTGTCTTATACTATATATATATTATATTTTTTCAGTAATGAAAAAAAAATTTTTATACCTACTAGTGTTTAATTTCCAAGGATGTTTGATGTGGTTTTTTGGTCCAACAATATTATAATTGATAAAATTATAACACAAACATTATGAAGAAGGGTACCCATAAAATACATTTCTGGTTTTATTAAGCTAGTTATATTAATATTATATATTTTGAGTATGCAGGGAGAAAAATTGTGTATATAGGTTAAGATCGGTTAGGTATCTTATTATAAAGGCGTTTTATACCAAATACCAATACATTTATTTACCAAGTGTAAAATGTAAATATCACTGTACACTGGTATCCACAATATAAAATAAATACATTAAAAGTGCCTACACATAGTTCGTCAAATATAGTAACAATATTGTGATATTTTTATACCAATATAAGTATAACTTATAAGTGACATATTAAATAAATTATACAAATATTCTAAAGCTTATAAGTTATAAGTTATATTACTATAACTATATTTATATTACTAATTACTAATTAAATTTTATTTATCTTATTAAATATCAAATGTAGTTGCAGAGTTTCAATCTAATGTTCTAATAGTTGGTCACACTGATAATAGATAACACTCGTGATACTAGTTCGAGTTGATACGCTATAATAGCAGACGCAGTGCCGAAGAATTTTAAATTTCCTTAGTCATTGCTCGTTGTTGATTATCGTGAGAATTCATTGAAAGTCGAATATTTTAGTTGATCTTTGTTCGTTGATTTTTCTTTGAGCTCTAAAAATCTCCGAAAATAACTCAAAACCATGTCTGGAGGCTACGACAGAGCGATCACGGTATTCTCACCGGACGGTCATCTCTTGCAAGTGGAGTACGCGCAAGAAGCTGTACGTAAAGGATGCACAGCCATCGGTGTGCTGGGCAAGGACTGCGTCGTACTCGGTGTTGAAAAGAAGTCCATAGCCATGCTCCAGGAAGAACGTACCGTGCGCAAGATTTGCCCTCTGGATTCACACATAGTAATGGCATTCGCTGGACTGACGGCCGACGCGCGTGTAATCATCAACCGGGCACAGATGGAATGTCAGTCGCAGTACCTTACTCTCGGTGAAACTGTAACGACCGAATATATCACACGATTCGTGGCCTCCATCAAGCAGAAATACACACAGAGCAACGGTCGCCGTCCATTTGGCATATCGTGTCTGATCGCTGGTTTTAACAATAACGGCACACCACATTTGTTCCAGACCGAACCATCTGGCATCTACTATGAATGGAAAGCAAATGCCACTGGAAGAAATTCAAAGTTGGTCAAAGAATTCTTACAGGTAATATTATAAGCAATCATGTGTTTAGGAATGATTAATTATGAAACATTCCTACTACTGATTTATGATTTTACTATATTGGATGACTTGAGTTTGAAATTTAATTGATATACATTTATTTGTTTTAAAATATTACATATTTATATATTTCCTTTGTTATAGGATAACTATAATGATGAAGCTGTAAGTACGGAACAAGGAACTATCAAATTGGCAGTCAGAGCGTTACTGGAAGTAGTTCAATCTGGTCAAAAAAACATTGAATTGGTAGTGTTAAAAAATAATGAAAAAATGAAGATGTTAGACCCAGCATCTCTCGAAGAAATGGTAAATGTTATAGAAGCAGAAAAAGAAGCTCTGGAGAAAGAAAAAAACAAACAAAAAGATAAACAATAACATTTTTTAAATATTTATGTCCAGGGAATATGAATAAAATCTAATTTGAATATAATTAATGATATATATATTTTTTTTTATGTACCTATATTAATTATATTAATAATTTAATAAAGTAAAAGGCTATGTACATTAGTTATTTTTTTTTAATAGAACAATAGGTACATAGTTGTGTTTATATTTTGATTTTACCTTTACATAGTACTGTGGTTTTATTAGCATCTGTACTTTGTAAAGGATTGTCTTCAGTCTTATATTTTAATTTTGTTATTTTATAAATCTGGAATGTACTTATTCTATATCCACCTTTGCCCATACAAGCCGGTATTTTTGTTGTATGCGGTGTATCTCACATTAATATACGTACAATTATACAATCCACCACATGTTTTTATATTTAATTAAAATATCAAAAAATACTTAATTAATGTAGAAATGGTATATTTTATTTAATAATATTAAAATATATATATATTTAAATGTTATCTATAGTAAACATATCATTAAATAATACACTAACGTATTAAGGGGATTGGATACCGTAATTTTCCGTCTTTGTCTAACACACGCTGGACATAAAATTTTCTACTAATTTTACTTCAATCTGTCTAGTTGTTGTATTGATGCAATAAAAATTCTGAAAATTTATTTGAATTCAGCATGAAGAATACCTGAGATCGGTCGAGCCACTTTTTCAGTTTTATTTAATGATATTTTTTAAACACTACTACAAGATTTTATATTTTTCAAAAAATTTAAATCAAATTTGTGGAATTTTGAGGGAAACAATAAAAAATGTAATCCGACTGATCTCAAGTAGTCTACGCAGAATTCAAATAAATTTTCAGAATTTTTATTGCATCAATACAACAATTGGACTGATTAAAGTAAAATTAGTAGAAAATCCTATGTCGAGCTTGTGTTAGACAAAGACAGAAATCCACGGTATCCAATCCCTTTAATTTAAAAACAATATTTTTTAAATTTTTTACGATAATACAATATGATATGGTGTCTTTAAGAAAACATTCAAATGAGTCGTATTTATCATTTTTCTAATATCGTTCTGCTAAATATGAGGATCAATTTTAATAAGTCAATTTTCCTTTAAAATGTATTTAATAGTATTTTCCACTAACTGAATTATTAAGATGAAATGTTTGGCCAACAGTTAATATAATTAACATTGATTAGAATAAAGTTTAATAGTCCACTCGGTAGATAACAAGTGTACGGTAGACTCATATGACAAGAATACCTACAAGCCAAACAAAACTATTGGGAATTTAATTTATGAAGTTTCCATTATTTAATATTGCTGTATATTCTTGAAGCAGCAATAAACTAAACTTACTATTTTTTTCTTATGACTCGTCAATTTGAACGCATTGTCTGGTCTACCCATTGGTAAATTAGTGTAATAGCATTTATTATTAATGCTAGTATTTATAATCAATTGTAATAGGTTTCAACTTATATAAATAAATTGTTTATACTGAGTAAAAAAATTTAAACATTTAGTAATAGTACAAGATCCCACATTAGTTATTCTTGTATCAATCAAATCAATCAAATAATATAAAAATAACAATTTATTTTTTAGTTAAAAATTCATTAAGTGTTCAAAACAGGTTTGAAAATATAATACAAGATTCCTCATAAGTTTATCTTAATGGAATTAATAAAAAGTTTGGCATAAAGCAACAATGAATGTTTTATGGGCGTTTGAGGATTACATTTTGATGACATGGGATAACCAAACATATAATAACAATTATTACTAAACAATAATTGTTAGGGGACAGAGTGGCCAAGCGGTCTAAGGCGCCGGTTCGATTCTTTGGTTAAGGGCAAGTCACGGTGTCCGGAGAACAAGTACCGCCCTCCCCTACCCGGGCATGGCAGATACCTACGGGTGCCCAATCAAAAATTCTGCCAAACACAAACACTCAACTGAAAAAACCCACCACCACAATATAGCCCTACTAACAGTTAATGGCCATAGATGCCGGGCTTGAGGATCAATAAAAAAAAAAAATAAATAATTGTTCTTGTTTTTATTCATAAAATATTAACTTGAAACATTACATATATATATTAAATCACTAAAAACATTATGTTTTCTGTAAGCAATGATATTTTCAAAATATTTAGATGTATTTTAAGTGATTTATACCACAAATGTATCCGTACTATTCTAAGGTATTTTTTTTAATAAGTTAATGGCTAGTTTGTTGTTTTTAAATTTTTTGGTTCATAATGTATATGTCAAAGAACTCCAAACTTTCACATCTACATAATTTTAAAGGTAATGTCGTTTATTTTCGAATTTTAAAAAATGTTTGACCAATAAAGTAGGGCTTAATGTCAATGAATACATTATACAACATATAGGTAGCCAGGCAAATCGGAATCAGGTTCAAGGAGAATACATATACTACGTTTATATGATGGCGTTAAAACGGTTTAAGACTAAACCGTTTTGAAAGTTAAAACGCTCGTGCTATGTAGTTTAAAAATTTAAAACCGTTTTATTTGCTGAAATGTTTATATGTACATCTGATAAACCGGTTTAAGCAAATAAAACGGTTTTAAATTCTTAAACTACATAGCACGAGCGTTTTAACTTTCAAAACAGTTTAGTCTTAAACCGTTTTAACGCCATCATATAAACGTAGTAATTGATGCGAAAGGACACAGGTTTAAGAGTTGATTAATTTAAATATTTGATGGTGTCCATCATCAATGATAACTAAAGTAAATAACATGAAAACAGAAACATCAATGAGATTTAAATTAGCATATAATTACATATACATTTTTTTAGGTCCTAATAGACATCCTTGATTTATAGACCATTCCTAAGAACTAAAATTAGAATATAATTAATTATTGATCTTAATATGGGCAATCACCTAGTATGCAACTGAAAGAACAGACTGGCCCAGTGGTCTACTGTCCTAGAGGACAGTGGATCGCTGTCCTTGGTTCGCCGGTGCCTCGTAAGTGGTATGATTAGGACATCGGTACATAAATATAGTAGGTAATCTGATGTAAACATAATAGGATTATATATTTATATATGACAGAGGTGACATCAAACTTTAAAAGTTAAATGGTTCCAGTTTCTGCAACAAATAAATCATAAATAACTCCTTAATTTGCCATTAAACCTATTATTTTGGCGGCTAAGTCCCCTAAAGCTCCCAACTAATTACGCATATGGTCAGGGTAGGGCCGCTGTTATATCTAGGATAATAAGTCGGACCTTACCCAGTCCGGTCCTGAATATGGCCTACTGGCATCTGAGAAAAATTGCAGAAAATAGAAGACACAAAAAAGTACTCCGAAAAAAATATGAAACTGAAATTCGATAGTTTGATTCTCACACAAGTCAATTGTGAAACCACTGGAAACTACATAATGATGAACTTTATTAGTATATTTCAAGCAGCAAGTAGCTAATGTAGGAACTGTATTTTAGATTATTGTTTTTGAAAACAAAATATCTATATAAGGAAAATAAAACAAAAATTACACAATTTAATTATTAAAAAAAAACCTCTAAATATATTTCATTCAATTATACAATACTTCTATTAAACTGTTATTATATATAATGTACAATAATAAAAATTATGTATATAACTTAAAACAAAGTGTTGTATTTACAATGTATATTCTTTTAAATGAACTGCGCAAAAGAGAAAAAGGAAAAAATTCGTAGCAGTGGTATAAGTGAAAATGGTGGTTAATTAAAAGAATATAATGGTATCACCATTAACTCGTTATACATATATTTATATAGAATTTCATATAATATGTAAATATGTATATACACATTTAAATTTGTATAAAATAGTATTTTTTTTTTTAGACAATAAAATAACAAATTATTTAGAAATATTCGTATTTAAATTATAAAAATGTCACACACTTACATCAGTATAAAGTAAATAATACTATTTTAAGCTTACAATATTATATACAATTTTGTATACATATGGTATGGACGAAAGAAAATAAACTTTCAATGGACAGACATTTGAAGTTGACCACTGGTATTTGGCTCAAAGTTATTCTTATTATGTTATTCGTATATATGTATAATGCAGTCAACTACAAATTGAATTGAGAACATCCCAAAAGAAAGTTCATTTAGTTATCCAGTTTTGAAAAAGTAAACAAAATACAATCAAAAATAAATTTACAATTACGGAAGGATTTGATATATATTTGAAAAATGATATGTGTCTAAATGAATAAATATATATATATATAATATTTGAACTTCTGTTCATAGAGATTTAAGGGCAAAGAAAGTAAAGTTTCCAATAAATTTAAAATCTTATTATTATTCAAATTGTATGGCACTGAGCTAACCTAGATACTGACTTCGTTGTGATGAGTAAGACAGAGGTAGCATGAAGGTTGTAACTGTAGTAATTATCAGCGATAGAAGAGAATGAACTATATAAAAATTATAATTTGGTGTAATATAAAAAGCAGCGTGGTTTTAATTGTAAAAAAACCAATGTTTAAAATAATACCAATAAATGATTTTTTGAATAATGTTTTTTTGTTTATAATCATCTAAGTAAACTTAGTAACACTTACTAAGTTATTAATAAACTTGATATGAGATTCTTATTACATTTGTATAGACTACAGAAATCAAAGAATCCATAATATTAAACATACAACAGATATCCCGTATATCATGTAAATCATGATAATAGTTGCTAATATACATCAAAACCATATTATAATACTACCACAGATGGTGTTGATAATACCTTACAGGCAGATATAAAACAAATTTAGTTAATAGCATACATTCAGGTAATTTGTGACAATTGCATTCATTTAATCCCTAATAAATTTGTTTAACATAAAATAAAACAATTATTAACTCATTCAAAATTTGTGTTGAACATGTTAAGGTCTTCAAATGAAGCAGCTGCTGCACTCTGATCAAGCATCTGCATCATCATATCAGACAGCTCTTGTGGATGGCCACTATGCGGATGTGGTGGTACATTGTTTGCCACAGCTGTGGCCCCAGTTGCTCCAGCTTGCCAACCCCACATTCCTTTAAAAAATCAATTATATTATTTTAAAATTCTATTTAAATTAAAAGTATTGTAAGCCATAATTTAATGGTTTAAGTCTGTTTAATAAAAAAATAAGTTGATAAATAGTATTTTTAATTTTATACAATAGGAGTAATGAAATGACAATTTAAAACAATTTAATAATTCAACTAATTTTTAATTTTACCTGGAGAGGCAGTTGCTGGTGAAGGATTGTGATACGTTGTTTGTCTGGCTCCACCACTCAATTGTGTATATGTTGGACCTGATGGTGAACGAGATGGACTCATTTCTTGATTATATTGGTAACCTTCAGTGACGGGCTAAATTAATAAATAGGTATTAAAACATTGAAATATAAATATTATTTTATTATTTTTATGTTCTTATATTTTTACTTGGCGCAATGTCCATGCTGTTTGTGCAGGTGTTGGACTTGACTTAGTTAGGCGATTTATTAATGGGGATTGAACTTGACTTTGAGTACCTTGATTGGGCGAATGATAGCTAATGGGTGATGCATTCGTTTCATATGTATTAAATACATTTTGAGCGCTGTTTGGTCTTTGCGCTGTATTGTTGGCTATTTAAAAAATTAAAATGTAAAAGTAGTTTTAGAGAAATTCAAATTAAAACACTAACGTATCATATGTTGACTGGCTGTTGGAGCAGCAGCAATCATTGCATGAGCTTGATATGGTGGTGCTGCTACATGATCCCTTCTTTGAACTGTATAATCTAATCCAGGTGCCTGTTGTTGATAAACAGGTTCAGTAGACGGGTTACTGATATTAACTCCACTTTCAGATGGGGAGTGCATTGAGGACCTAATATAATACAAAATAGAGACAATGATATGTAACTTAATAAAGTAAGAACTTACTTAGCTGTTGAATTGTTGCACACAATATACTCAATATCATCAGTATATGGATTTAAAAATGCAAATGCATTTGTTCTTAGCCAAATCCAGTCATGATTTTTACCTCGAAACCGATACATCACGGACATCATCTGGCCTTTCATTTTAAGAACTGAAAAGTAATCAAACAATTAAAAAACATTTATATTTGTCAAGGTCGTGGAATAGAAATGTACCTTGTTCAAAACTTTCTTTCATATGAGTTTGGTCTTCAGGATGAAAGAACTCATAACACGTTTTGCTTAAAAGGTCTTGTGGCTTATAGCCAAGTATATGTGTAACACGCTGATCAACAAATGTAAATTTACCATCCATAGAATGTCTAGATATGAATTCTAAAAAAAATTTTCTGATAAATATTTGGTACATTTTAATAATACTTTAAATTAATTTTAGTTTTTACCAGCATTACTATTAGACCCAGCTAAATCAGTAGTGTTTGGAGTGGAAGTAACTTGCAACCGTCCAATAGCAACTAAACAACAATGAGTACCATCTTCTTCGACAGCTCTCTCAATTTGAACACCTAAATACATGACATTTTATATAAGAATTTAATAATGATAATTTTAGATGGAGGGATTTTCGACTATTATTGGTAAGTGTCATCGAGGTGATTAGACGACAGATCGACATCATACCAGATAATGGATGATCAAACTGACCAGATGGAGGCCAGTTCTTTATGTAGCCAGTGCAGTGGATGACGGCAAATTCGTTACCATCACGAGTTGGTCCTAATGTATTACGCTGTTTAAGACGTTGATGTAGATTATGACCCGATATACTGGACATCATACCACCACTATTACCGATTTTCATTCGACAAATGAACCCACGTCGAGAACCCATGCACAGTCTCATTGAAGCTACAATATGTCAAATTGTAATTATTATTATAGAAATAAAATATTAATAATAACTAAGATTATTTATAGTTGACTTACATTGATGACCCTCTTTTTTCACTGTACCAGTTTTCAAATCTAATATACGCCCTGAATTTTGTGGTTCCTGTGTGGATAGTTGTTCACGTACTTTTTCCACGTCTTCGGGATGTAAATGATCAAACATACTTGTCCCTAACCAGTCATTCTAAGAAAATAACATTAATAATAACAATAATAATAATTGTTTAACCAGTTTTAAGGTTTTAAAGGTAAATTCATACTTGTGAATAATTTAATACTGGTGCAACAGAGTCGGAAACGTATATAACTCTACCAGTATCACATGTAACAACAAATAGAAAACCATCAGCTGCTTCCAATATTAAATGTTTAAGCTCTTGATCCGTTAGAAAGCTAGGTTTGTAGGTGCCATCATTGTTTGTGTTACCTGTACCTATAATTTATATGACAAGTTTATAGAACACCATATTGGAAAACCACCTTTAAGGCTCTTGGTACACATTTTTGAGTTTCAAGAGTTAACAATAAATATATAATATTATGCCTAAAGGAAAACTACACTAGTCAAAAAACACGAGATTATTAAAAACAAAAATTTAAATAAGAATAATCGTAAAATCATAAATGATCAATAAACAAACATCAACAAGCATGATATTTTAATAATAAAAAAATGTATATTTACTAAAATATAAGTATTAAAATTTATATTGTAATTATATAATGTTCAATATAGAATTAATTGAAATTTTACAGTATTGTGCTTTACAAGATTATAGTAGCCATTACACATGTAATAATTAAATAATTTACTGTTGAAAACCTAATGTAAATAACTTAATTTTATATTGGTTAATTTATGCAACATTAAAGTTTTTAGTTTAATAAATTATAAATTATAAGTTTTATATTTTAAATCAGACATAAAATTGGCAATGCGCAATAGAAAAAAAAACATTGTCATTCACATCTCGCCCGTAAAATAAAATAAAAGTACGTCAAAAACCGAAGGGTGAAACAGGAAATTGACAATGGACGTGACAATAAACAATAGAGCCATGCCGCCAGCGGGCAGACATAACGCTTAACCTGGTGAATATTAAATATTATTATTATTATTATTATACATTATTTCTAGCATAATAGTAATAATAATAATAATATATAACTGGCTTTGACTTGACCGGGTTCCAAACAAACGTATAATATGCCACCTATAATGCGACAATACTCATTCTCGTCATCCGCATACCGTCCATTTGAATACAATCGGTTTTGTACTCTGTATAAGAGGTAACCGTTATTATGACAAAAACGACGGTATAAAGAGAAAAGAAAAATATCTATGTACCTACCTAAGGTATTGAGTGAAAAATAATCATTGACCACTAAAAAGCTATATAAACACGGTCATAAAACTGTTTTATTGTAACTACTTATACCTATGATGGTTACTTCCCCACTCCTTTACTTCTTTACATTATTGGCGAAGGAAATAAAATATAAATTTAAATCATATAACACGCGCAATGTTTATATAAGACGTTGTTGTATACAATTAATAATAATAGCAGTTCACGGTGAAGAATTAAATCAATCAGCAAGTTTTGTAGTAGTTTTTACATATATTTTCTAAAGCGACAATATAATGTGTATATACAATTTATATGTATCGGTGAAAACATATTATAGGTACCTCGTTTGACATCTTTCAAAGTCGTAAACTATATAGGCACTTGTAATAATACCAGCAGAGTTGCTGGAGACCAAATAATACATTAGGTAGGTACTTAGTAAGTAGCCTTAAGTTAGCAAATTCAACATTTTATTTTATTATTTGTATGCTATTGCACCGTGACGATTAACGCTGATGAAAAATAAAAACTGCAAACAGAGCATATACTGATATACGCATAAACTATAATTATAGTTGTACCTATAACTTATCGGATACCTATAAAGTAAAAAAAATTGTTTTCACTATATACGGCGAAAATAATTTCCTAATACCTACGTCCTACACCGTATACAATATTAGCATATAGTTAATGCAGCGTATGAATAATAAATAAACTCAATAGAAAAATAAAAAAAATCACGCACAGAGAACAGGAAAAAGAAGATGTTGTAATTGAATTCATGGCGGTCTAGTTCACAATTCGGGGTATTAGATAGACTACGATAGAGCACACACACACACATTGTCCTGTGCGGAAGGAAATAAATGAAAAGGGAAAAAGGAAACACGCATCCTGCGACAAAGCATTTTTGCTGTCCGAGATGAATTTGCGAGTTCTCACGCGCCCTTTCAGTGAGGTTATTATCTAGAAGGATGGTAGTAGATAGACGACGTGTATATGTGAGTGTTATTTGATACTTCCTATTGAGGTGTTGAGGAATAAACTCCTCTGGGAATTAAATAAACGGAAATGAAAATATAAATAACAATGATTATAAAATTTTGTAAAAGTAAATTTCATTATTACAGGAATTAGCAACGGGTTGTTGCATAGAGAAAATGCTAATATAATATTAATTTGTTAATATCAAATTGCAAATAATTAATTCAATTCAAAATTTTACGAAAAGTATAAGGTATATAATAAAGAAGTCACTAAATCTATTTGTATTCATCATTAGTAAAATATTAATTTATTAAAATAACCTAGTATTAAGTTGTAAAGGTAATAGTTGTGTTCATCAATATAAATACATTTGGTATATTTGATTTGAATTAAGGGAATTTAAGGTTAAAATTTAGGTATTTTATAATATTGTTAAAGTTACATAAATGAAATTATTATATTATCTTTTTTTTTTATTAATAGGAAAAGTAATAATTTATCTTCGGTTATTGTATATACAAGCGGTAGGTACCCACTACGATCTACAAATATTGTGAGACCAGCAATAAAATAAAATAGTACATTAATTTAAAGAGTGAACAAATTAAAAACTATTTTTTGTGGTTCAATTATTCCAATATCTTTGGCGAGAAATAGAGAGGTTCCGTCCATTTACGTCAAAATAACATAAAATAATAAATAAATACAATTAAAAAAAATATAATTTGTAAGATTGTATAATATTATTTTAATGATTATTGTTATTGTCAATTAATATCTTGAGTAAAATAATGTAATTTTTAAAATTGATATTCCGACGTTTTCAAAATCCTAGCAGTACCACTAATACTATAGAATATTATGGATGATGAACAATCATTAGAAAATAGTAAATACCCAGGTACCCATATAAGACATTGAATTTTAATTTACATTACATATCAAACTTGTACGAAAATTGTATTTGATTATCCAATCGAATTAAGATATTTATTATCTAAAAAATATAACTAGTATTTTTTGAATGGATGATTTTTATGAATGTTCGAAAACATTTGTTTCATTCACATTTATATTTTTAATTTACATACCCCTGAGACTTTTCATATGGTTAACAGCCATTCGGAGTATGGTGAGTTTGTCCGGTTTCCGAGCTAGTGATTGACATGCCGGCACCATGTCCGACAGTTCCGTGATGTACGCTGTCATCTTGTTCCGCCGCCGCCTCTCGATTTCGCAATGATTCTCCCTACAGTGATTTCACATGGAAAAGGAAAAAAAAATTCGCAAGATATACATAAATCGTCATAAAACCACATTATTTAAATACTATTAAGTATGGAAAAAAATGTTGTATAGTTTAATAATATATATAGGTAAGTATTGGTTTTATTAAGAATAAGAAACCAGAAAAAATATTCATCTACGGAAATATGTATATAACTATTATTCAACTATGTTAAAATAAATTACAGAATGCTTGTTAAAATTTATAGTTTGACCAGAAACATAGTTTTTTTTTCTTTAGGAGCGATTTTAATGGTTTTATTTTCCGTCCACAAAAAATGTTTTAACTAATTGCATTTGGGGAAATTAAAAATGATTGTAAATCTTACAATGATGTAAAAATATAGGTATAAATACACAATAAGATCAGTTTGAGTTCAACTACAAGTGTTTGGTATATACTAATGAATTAGCATAATATGGTGTTTTAATTTAATTTTATATCTATACCTACCTATTATTGCTAATTATCTAGAACAGATTATACTATAAGAATAATGAATACTGAATTGTATAAAGTATATACAATAAATGTAAAGTATAATATTACGATATTTTACATACCTCCTAATAAGACCCGAACTGTTTTTATATCATAACAATCTTGCATTGATATGATGTTATAATATTATAAAGCGATAACTTAAGTATTTTTAAAGATAATCATAAAATATTAAATAGTATTATAAAATACCAGGATTTATTAAAACACAAATTATTGAAAACAATTTGTTTACTAATAAATTAGTCTTATTAACTTAATTAAAGATGAAAAATAAAATTAAAATGAAATATTTGAAAATACGAACATAGTATTGATAATCTTGGTAGAATTGAAAAATATAAAAATAATAAAGTACAAAAAGAATCTACAAGCATACATTAAATAAAAAATTGTGCATTTACCCTTCATTAATTTTATTAATATATAATATACACGTTATTTTTTATAGGCTAAAAATAGTTTTATCAAATACTTAAAGTTATAACATTTTCCCAAAATTATTTGAAACAAGGTTCAAATTATATTTGACTTTTTCAGTATCCAATTCAGAAATATTATCAGATGTAGGAATGGAGTTATTAAGTTACCGGTAGGCGGTAACCCTCTAACGTAACAATACCAAAATAAAACAATAAAGTAAGTGTACTCAAGAAAGGAAATAAAAAATAAATCATGCATTATACGTGGTGGATACCTAAAACATTCATAGTTGGTAGTAGCTTAAGGTAGTGAGACAGTAGGCAGTGGGCCACTTATCGTATGTATGTAATACATTGCACATTAATATACGTATATATATACTTATCTTAAAAGACTTTTTAATAATGTAAGTTTATTGACTAATCACTAATTAAATTGATAAAACAAATGTAATGTTTAAAGCCCAGTTTAAAATATTCAAACACTAATAACTAATATTTGAATACACAACGTATTATTTGTAATAGATTAAAAAAGTAAAAATGTATGGAAAACCAAACCTATTAGATTACAATTTTTTTTTATCTTCAATACAATGTAATAAAAACATTTAACATGTGATAATAATATGAATACTAAGTAGAAATATAATACCACAAAGAATTTTATGACAGCATAATTTTTTGATTCAAAATTGTAATAATAAAAATTAAGAGGATGGTCACCTATGGCATGGTTTATCTGTCTTGGAAAGGTAAAATATATCTAATTTGCATGTTGTTAGCTTTAAAATTATAGATAATTTACCTATAATCAAAATAAATAATAAGAACATTAGCTGTGTTTGGCATGTCAATTTTTTACGATTTTTGAATTTTCAAGAGGGTTATGAGCATTTTTAAATGTTACATATTCTATTAAACGCTTAAATATTTTAACGTCGTAAAAATCGAAGAACAAACAGATAATGTTCCAGTGGCGTAATTACGGTGGGGGGGGGGGTCGTATCCCCCCATGACTTTTTTTTTTTGAAAACTGAAAAACCACATTTAAGTACTTATTTAACTATAAATATTATTGTTTATAGGTTAGGTTATACATTGAAATATGGCACAACAATGCAATTTAGTCCCCAATAAGTGATTTTTTGAATATCATTTTTCGGAAACCGTGTATTTTATTTAGTTAAGAACAATGATGCAATCAGAATTTTTTGGTTGGACTTAGTTACAAAGTTCTAACATTTTGAAGTTATTTTTAAGGTACCCCCCCCCCCTTCCCCAAACATGACGAGATTAAGCCTCTGTACCATTTCTAAACTTCTAAAAATTAAGTTTAATAATAAGTAGATTTATTCACTATTAAAACTAATAAGCAATAACATACAATTTGTTCTGCTGAACGCAAATATGTTATACTATATAACTGTAAAAGATGTTGAAAACACATGTGAGTGGTGTCCACTAAATACAGAATTCAATTAATTACTAAAAACAACAAAATATTAAATCCTTTATTCTTCAATATATTTAATCAGCTATTAGTATTAATTTATTTAAATTTCTTATAGTAGAAAAATTTAAATAATATGCATTTATATCTATATCTATAATTATATATTATATACCATGCAAACTAAAAGACCCTAGTTTTAACTATGCAGAGGGACATCTATGTTACCTTACAACATTCAAGCATTATTTCTATTGACTCTATTTTAACTAAAAATGTACATTATGCATACCCTTTAGCAGTGTTGCCGATGTTTAGCATACCATTAGTTGTTTTTATCATATTTTGAATTATATAATGTAGTATTTAATATTGTTTTATTTATCAAATTCAGGTTAGCCACTGTTTATCAGTTTAATATCGAAGATCAATTATAATTATTATATTTTTAATCAATTGTTCTGATGTACAATAATAAGTTATGTAATAATTATAATTTCTGTTAAAATTCTATTACATTATACTTAAAAATTATATGGTATCATAATTAATAATTAAATTAAGTATGTCCTTTCATATTGTTTTATTTTATACTTTTGTGAATGTGAACTATAAAATATAAACTGTTTTGCAACTTTTATTGAGAATACCTAAAGTATAATATTATACAGAATTTACGTTACAGAGTGAAGTTGTCTTGTTCTTGTATAAATGTGTTTTATTTTTATTTATTTATTGTTATTTCAAGATATGTTTATCATTGGTGACGCATTTAAAAATTTTGCTATTTTATCCTTGAGATACACTAATCATGCAGGTATGCAAACATTGTAATACCTCTATACAAATAATTATTTCTTTTAAAATAAATAGTAAAAAGAAAAATTACGAAATGTTTAATATAAATAATTGGATGTGTGTATTGTGTTTAAATAGCTACTTAATTAATTTGTGCGATACAACAATTTCACAGGCCGTTTAAAATGAATAATTTTTCATTGTAATTAGAATTAAATAACAACCCGTTTTGATAGTTATCGAAAGAATCAACATAGGTAGTAGTAAAATAAGATCATAATTAACGAATTCACTCATTTTCGATTAATATAATATGATATTGCTATTGTTATAAAACATAATATTATAATTTATAAGAAATGTATACGTGCAAAATCTACGGAAAGAACATTTTAATCTAGTCTGAAAAAAGATAATATAACATAAAGTTGGAGTATGTAAACATGCATTTATTAACTTATAAAAATTACTATTGGAAGAGTTACCTTATATTTTTTATATAATGCTTATATACTCAGAAAATATTGTATAAATCTCAGTCTACCATTGATATTGAGATAATAATATAATATTCATTGCTTTTAATAAGCTATCTGCCAAAAAAAAATTCAGATCAACAGTGGGGTAAATAAGAATTTTGAGAGCACTGAGCACATGCAGTTAACAGAAGTATACACATCCGCTCACCCTTTTTTATATGTAAAAAAAAATATTGGTGAGCTCAACAATAAAATATGCTCACAAAACATTTATTTATAAATACCTACATTTTTAATTAAATATTTCAGAATAGCTTAGTGTCTCAGTAGTTAAATATTTAAATAAATTAGTAAATCACTATAAACCACAGAAATTAATTATTATAGTTTATATAAGCTTCCAAGTGGCACCAGAAATGTTCACCCACCATCATTCGGGTGCACATGCAGTTTTAGTACTTGGTAACCCGTCTGGGCATAACTGTAGCTCAACAATTACGAATAAAATATTCAATAATTATCAATTTCAATAAGATGAATTTGTGAAAATACATATTAAGTATGAAGTCGATATCATATACACACATAAAAATCGTTAGTTGTTTTAACTCCGAATGTAGTTAATGTCCAATACATTTGAGCGTCGATTTTGACTTAGGACTCAATAAGTGTTGATTTAACTATTATTCAATGTAATTAAAATGACTTAGAATATATTGTTAGGATAATTACATTATTATGCTATATTAACATATCATAACGTAGTGAGATTAACTTTCGTAATGTTGTGAATTGAGTTTTTAAATTCGTTTCAAATTAAAAAAAACGTTGTAGTTGAAATTACCCCAAGAAGTGGTTAAAATTGAGATTTTAAAATTGTTTTAAATTGAGATTTTGCAGTAGTTAAAATAACTCCAAGATACGGAACAATGGTGTTAAAAATAATAATAAAAACAAAAATAAATGGCCCCCATGAGGGATTCGAACCCGAGACCTTTGTATTCTTTGGTTTACAAATCTAACGCTTAAACCTACCTACCTAACGGGACTACGTACAAACAGTGATAAAATATACCATTTAGGTAAAGAAATTTTGTAAGCTAATGTAGGCGTTAGTAGTTTACCCACTGTTTGCGGAGAAAAGTAAAACCATCATGCATTTAAATTTTTAAGTACCTACTATAAGCATACGGCCAGAGTTCAGGGGAGTACTTATTATTAATATTTTTTTTATTGGAGGGGGGAGGAATTAAATAATAATTATTTTTTCTTAACTATTTAAAACTAAAAGTTATAAATTTAGAACAT